AAGTTGCAGATTATAAAGAAATTAAAAGAATTCAAATAGCTATTTTACACAATTCAGGTGCCAAAGTTTCAAAGTTTTCTTTTTACCAAGCAATATATTGATATCATTAACTATATTCTATACTAATTGAAAATTAAAAATATCTATCTTGATTTTATATTCAATTAATTGTTACCAAATAATATTTGCATTGTCTAGATAGTAATATTGAACAAATTATAATAGAATTAATATACTATCAGCAGTAAGTTTTTATCTATAAAATCATTGATTTATAAGATGAGTGAATGCTATAACTAGATAAAATATTTTTTTCTATCAATTTTTAAATAAAATTTTAATTTAACTATTTATTTTTAAAAATTTAAATAATTACAATTTAATATAAAATTTGAATATTAAATTTTAGGGAAATTTACATATAAGGGCCCGAAAAATAAAAATAATTACAAATAAGGACCAAAAGCGAAAATAATTACATATAAAGGCCCAAAATTCGAAAAAATTTATAATTAAGAGCCAAAATAACTTTACGTTATAATAGTAGTGGTTCTTTGAATATTTATGTATATTGATTTATACATTTTATACATTACCTTTCGCTTAATGAACTTTCTTTTAACCAAGAAACAATTCGACTAAGTTAAATACGATATATATTCGGTTCTAAACTGATATGTTTATCCTTTTGTTATACCAAATTAGTGAATCATATTTTGTGAAGGTTACTACTGTATTTGCACGTAATAGCGGGCCGGGTATTATTTTGAGCCACAGCCCGAATTAAGCTTAATTTAGGCCGAAATTTGAAATTACACCCCTGCGCGTTATTATACGCAAATGCGGTATGCATTAATATAAGATATTTAGAACCAAAGAAGCTCATTTTCATTCGTAGAGAAAGTTAAAATTACTTTTTAAAATCGGCAAAAGTGGTTATAATTTAATTTTTACATGAAGACGTCAAGAGAATAAATGCAATACTGATTAAAAGTAGTACGTTAAATGTTAAGACAATTGCATTTATATAATTTCATATGTTAAAAATTTGCAATCTTATGATAAAATTGGACCCTTGATTGTAATATTTGTCAAAATTTTGGCCCTTATATGTAATTATTTTCACTTTTGGCCTTTATTTGGAATTATTTTCATTTTTCGGGGCCCTTATATGTAAATTCCCAACAAATAAGCATCATCAAAATAAACTCAAAATTATGTTACTGTGATCACAAGATTGATCAATAGCAGAATCAGTATTTTTGTTTTCAAATAGCTAGTGAATAAACATTTCAATTAATTAATTTACGGTTAATTAGTAATAGCAATCCTCCCGTGATCTTGAATAGTGATCGGGGGATTAGATTTGTTATGTTGTAACTCTAGTACAATTTGCAAATTCAACTTCTATTCGAATCTGGCCAAATTTGACCAGAGTTATATGTTATACGTAGGAATGGAATCTTTTTAGAACCAACATAAATATACTTAAGTTGAATGAAATTTTAAATCCACTCAAATCATTAAAGGACATCTAGTGAATATTTAATTTTAAAATTTAAATAGTTTAAATTCAACTTAAACAGTAAAAAGCTATAGTCATATATATATTCTATTTACATTAATTATTACAAACATGATTATTGAGGTTGACAGCTACTTCTGCGAGTCAATTTTGCCTTTTTTACAATTGCAACGATTTACATCACCTATTTATGACGCTAATTATGCCTGTAAAGCTTCTCACACACCTATAGCTTTTGAAGAATATTATCCAATTCGGATAAGGCTCTAAAGAAAAATATTAGATCATGTGACAGATATAATTAAAGTTTTCATTCGGAAGGTTAGTCACTAAAATTAAATCAACTTGTATTCGATTAAAAAATTTATTAGTGACAATTGCAATTGGATTGAAAAAAGTCCGTCTTGTTTTGTACGTACAAGCTGTTCAATTCTTTACTGTTTAATGATGATTGTGAATCGTTTAACTGTATAATATTGCTCTCAGAAATTTACTAATAAATTAAAAACTATATAAACTATATTATACAGTATGCTGCACCCATAATTTTGAAGAACCAATATGTTTTAAAACATCTTGATGCAAAACTATTATAATATACAAGTCATTAAATAATCAATTATTGTTACAACTGAAGTTGGATATTAGAAATCTCGATTTAAAAATATAAACCCTACCAATTATAAAGTGTAACAGTCAATAAAATGTGATGAACAGCATCAGAAATTAAAAATTTACCAAATGATTTTTCGATCGATTCGGTTAAGTTATTGATTTCGGCATGATCAGTATACAAAAGCTATATTGCAGCAATACTTGTTCTTTGGATAGTTCTATCATTATAATGTCAGAACACACAAAATTATTAAATTTCATTTGAATATTTGTCCAACATGTTTGATGAGAAATTCGTAAAATAAAAATTATCTTTATCAATTCATTTCTTTCACAAGTATTATCTATTAAATTTATAAAAAAAAATACAATTCTTGACTTTTTATATAAGAAACTCCTACATAAGTAAGATTTTACAATTGAAAACTTTATAATAAAAGCTTTTTGATATAATAAAATTTCGTTATATCGAATTCAGTAGTTCTTCAAACTGTCATAAAACTAATTTTATATCCAAAACAAACCTTCATCTTGATTGTAATTCATACGAATATTAGATTTTTCTTTCATTAAAATTTTTAAGATATCTATATTTACATTTAATAAACGTGGTTTCATAAAAGTGATGAAAATTTTTTTAATAATTCATATCTTCAAAAGTATCATATTTCGGTATTAACTAGAGATATAAGTACGTACGTACGTACCAAAAGTCTATAACTGATAAACTGATAATATTATATTAGTCATCTGATCCTAAATTACGCATCGGTATATTTATTGCCGAAATCAATAACAACCGGATCGGCCGAAAAATAATTCAGCAAGTTTTTATCTGGTGTTCCAGAAATTATGATAGCCGCTGTAAATATAATGTACTATTATAGCACGTAATAAAAATTATATACCGTTATATATTTTCGTGAGCGATTGACAGAATTCTTGTTTAACGTTAACGTTAATTAGACTATGTATGTGATCCACATTGTAACATTTAAATGATATAACGATAATCAGATATTGTATTGTACAAGCAATGTTACGTAAATATTACGTTCTATATGTGGCACTAGGTTAAATTGATAATAATCAAGGGACCACAAAAATGCAATGTAAAATTTTACTAAAAAAAAATTCGCATAGATTTAAAAACTGGTTTCGTTACTAAACTAGGCTAGAAAAAAAACCAATACTGTACCAAAATTTTCAGGAAAACTTTGGTTAGTGCGCAGAAGGCAGTTGCAGTTTCATAAGTAAAATTTTGAGTTACGAACAATTTTCTGGGTTATTTTTAGCATTCCTTTTGAGTTACACCGGATCTTGAAAATTGATTAGCTAACGAAATTTTTTAAGATTGGTAACGCTAGGGCGTTACGTATTACAGTACAGTATCTGTTATGTAAAATCTTTTTGGCCAGGGTTTGACCAAACTCCGGCCAAAGGTACAGTCAGACCTCTCTATAGTCACCTCCTAAATAAGCACATTTTCTTTATAAGCATATTTTTTTAAAAACAAACTATTATTAAATCTATTAAATTTGACCTCTATAACTGTCACACTTCTTTACAATCACACATATTTGTATCCCGAGTATGTGATTATAGGAGGTTTGATTGTATATAATTTTTATACAGTATTCTATATAATTAATATCTTTATAAACTTGCTAATGCTAGCTGCTACACCAATTTTGTAACGGATATGATCTACAAAATTTTGGCCCATATTACATAATGGTTTACATAATTTTTGGCCAGAATTAACTTTTTCCAAAAATAGAAATTTTTAAAAAATAAACTCACGTAATGATACAATTAGCCCAGGAACATTTTTCACTTAATAGGTGGCTATGGTTTCATTAGTAAAATTTTAAGTAACTTCAGCCTAAATTTTTGATCCTCGTTCTTAGCCAATCAAAAAGCAAGTATCTGCCATGGCAACAGCCAGGTCCAATTTCAGGCTGCAGACTGCACAGTAGCATGGCCATGCTTGTCACTTATTTAGATAGTTTATTAATAATTGGTTAAATAATTTATCGGCTATAACCAGTTATTTGACCATATAACTGATCGCGTCAACCGGTTATGAGTGACTAACCGATAATGACCGACCGATGACTGACCGTGACCGACTGAACCCATCCCTAATTTTGATATATTTTTTTAAACATATGGTCTTAAACTATCACATGTAATTGAAACTTTATCATATAATTTCTCACATGATTATATCAAATAAGTAAATATTTCTAATAAATAGTGTGTTGGTAAAATTTATTCATTCAAAATTTATGAAAGTATAGTTTTTAAAAAAAATAAATAAATAAAACAAAAATTAAAAATTTTTATTATTAGTTAACCATATTATACAGAAATTAGTATTCAACAAGGATTTTTTAAAAATATTGTTCTTGATAGCAGTTTGTAAGAATAAGAAATTTAAAGAAATTTTTAGATTTCTGGATGATCATCTAACGATCACAATAATTTGAGAAAGCATAGTAAATTTAAAATGAGTCCTTTATCTATAAGATTTACTGGTTTTGACTTGAATTTAGTGCTCGGCACAATCAAACAAATATTTGACAGTCAAATACTTGTTAATACTTATGTTTAAATCGGATGTCAAACGATTGCAGATTAACCAAAGCTAAATATATACTATTAGTTAATCTGCAATCTTTTGATGTCCGCCTTAATCACAAGTATTAACAAGTATTTGACTGTCAAATTTTTGTTTGATTGTGCCGAACACTACTTGAATTAGCCTGTTTTAAATGTTTTAGTTAATTACTTTTATTACATAATAAACTATTAATCTCATTGTATTATGCTAATATTTAAATTAATTAATTTTATATCAAATGACAGTATTATTACTATCAAGAATAAAATTATTCAAGGTATTGTTTTTTAAAGTGTATTCTTTAATGCATTTTCTCTTTCTAATTCGAGATTATAACAACTAAGATTTAAAGATATCAGGATAATGAATTAACCCACATTTTTCAAGACATGAACATCAAATTGGTCAGAAGAGCGTTTCATAAGTAACATACTGGCTCCATAACCAACCAAACAGTCACGCTCCATTTCACCTGCCATCTCTCTATCGACATTCAGTAGGCTGTCGTGTTTTTTCATGCAGAGTACAACTGATACCCTGATCCAAATTTATTCCTTTCATGACATAACGACGCTAGAGTCGTATTCTTGCAAACCATATCTACTAATGCTTTTTCTTCTACTAAAAGTTATTATATAAAAGATGCAATGAAGTCAGGGTGGTGTTTTTGCAAAGAGATTCTGTTAAAACCTTCACTACTTCTGATCCGATATTATTGGATTGAAAATCTAAATATGTCAATGTGGTATTCTTGCAAAGAGCATTTGCTAATGCTTTACCATTCTTAGAATCAAAGGAATTAACGTGGTGTCCTTGCTAAGTGCATCCTAATGATTTTCCTCCTTCTAGACCGAGATTATTAAAACTAAGATTCAAATATTTTAACGTAGCGTTCTTGCAAAGTGAATCAACTATAGCCTTTCCTCCTTCTGATCCAAATTCATTACATTGAAGATTCAAAGAAATCAATGAGGCGTTCTTACAAAGTGCGTATGCTAATGCTTTTCCTCCTTCTGATCCAAGATTATTATCCCAAAGATTCAAAGAAGTCAACGTAGTATTCTTGCACAGTGCATTTGCCAATGCTTTTTCTCCTTCTGATCCAAGATTATTTTTAGAAAGATCCAAATCTTTTCGCTTGACATTCTTGCAAAGTGAATCCGCTAATGCCCTTTCTCCTTCAGATCCAAGATTATTATAACTAAGATTCAAATCTTTTAGCGTGGCATTCTTGCAAAGTGCATCTGCTAATGCCCTTCCTCCTTCAGATCCAAGATTATTATAACTAAGATCCAAATCTTTTAGCATGGCATTCTTGCAAAGTGCATCTGCTAATGCCTTTCTTCTTCTGATCCCAAATTATTGTCATAAAGATCCAAATATTTTAGCGTGGAATTCATGCAACGTATATTTGCCAATACTTTTCCTCCTTTTAATCCAAGACAATTAGATCCAAGACTAAAAGAAGTCAACGTGCGTTCTTGCAAAATGCATTTGCTAACATCTTTCCCTCTTCAACATTAATATGAATATTATAAAGTTCCATATAGGCGAATTTGCGGAATTGACCTAAATTAAGGTCCATATATTTTAACAATGCAATTGTAAAACCAACCCCAAAATTTCAGCTATTATGCATTCTGCAATTGTTAAATCCTTTATTACCTTAAATTTAATATCACCACGAATATCTTCTAAATCCATTGTGGTAACTGTAGCACTCTTAGAAAGACTTTCAATTATTATTTGATCGCAAATAATTTCGTTATGGCATTTTCAAGCTTGCGTTCTTTGTCATATTTTATGTATTTTTCATGATATATCCAATTTTTAATCCCACTATACAAATAGTTGCTAACTGACGTGATATAATTTGTATACTCGAATAGTGGTTTTGGATGATTTGGAAGGGTAATGTTAAAAGGAATTAATGGAGCATGTTCTTCAGCATTTAATGTTAAAAAGAATATTCTAATAAGTCTTTCATCCTTAAAATGGTGTTTTGGATCGTTCCATAATATTGGTATAACTATTCTACACCACTGACGCTTTACAAGAACACATGAAAATACGTTTTTATGATCATACAAGAAATTATTAAATATTTTATAGTAACATTCGTTCGGTAATGTAATCATATTGATTTTTAAAATGGTTAAAGATTTTAATGGTATGACCCTTATAAACAAAATAAATGGTGTGAAACATTGCAATCTGCTTTAAGTAATAAACGGATGTGAAAAGCCCGGTGACTCCAAAAGTTGAATTTTCATCAAAGTTCAGTCTGAAGTCAAATTTGGGACTTGACCCGTATCTGCACATGCATTAGCATTAAGGATGTTATAGTCTATTCTAGTATATCAAAAAAAAAAAAATAGTTAATATAATCTATTTTAAAAATACTTTTTAATGACATCTCCAGATAATAGATTTAAAAAAAAAAACTTTTATTCGTATTTAATCGTTAGCATAAAGTTATACGTATATATAGTATGTTGTCTTTGCATGATACAAAATTTCTATAACTAGTTGCATTTTAAATTTAGATAATTATTTGGACACTGTTTTTTTAAAAGTACTTTACGGTTTAGCTTACATTTAATTTAATTGTGCTCGGACCTTATATAAAGAATTTTAATCACATCTGCACATTGTAAGTAACTTTTCAGAACACCAGACTTCATACATATGGGCGGAGTGCTACAGAAAAGAGGGAAATCAACAAATTTTCAAAAAATTTTTTTTTACACAAATCAATTTAGAATAAGATTAGGTTCATTTTTTACTTAAAATTCAAAAGTAGTTGTATTAATAAAATTTTGTAATATAGCTCTTTAAAGTTTATATTTTCTTATGATTTATTATAAAATTTATAACATAAAAATTGATCTTCTGAAGATCTTTTGTTTTGTTGATTTCCCCCTTTTCTGTAGCACCAAGCCCATATTATTACATAATGTTTCCTAAGTCGCAAGGACCTCGTAATTGATCGTATACAAGAAGTTGATAATGTTTAATAAGTGACTTTTGGTGGGAATTTCCAATCAATCAACAATTCTTACTAATCTCGTTTATTAAATAATCGAATCACTTTTTTAAATAGAAATTTTAGAATATAAGCTTAAAAAAATAATATATAGTATCGAATTTAGTGTCAGATGTTGAAATTGTGAACGATTCATTCTTTTAAGATCTAAATAATTTTCCACATTTAGATTTTATTAAAGTTTAAGTGTGTGAAAAAAAATCATATACGTAAGTACTATCATACATAGTAATATAAAATTAGAGTAGCTGTGCGACGAAGTTGCGCTATGACAAGGAATGTTATTTGAGTACATTTTAAAATTAATCATTTGGGTGATTGAAGAAGAGTTAACTCAGTAATCATCACAACATCACATGACAAGTGTTGGCCTAGGTTAAGGTAAGTTAGGGTTAGGGTTAGGGGTATATTTAGGCCAGCTTGTTTTAATTCTGGTAGATAAATAACGTCATTATATGTTATCATGTGATCGTCGATCACTGAGTTAACTGTTCTTCAAGTGTCCCCTGAGTTTTATAAGTTTTGTATATAAAATTTTTAGCATAAATTTTTCATGTTAGAACAAGTATTTAAGATATGAATTAGGGTTTAGGAAGAGTTTTTTTGGACGTAGAGCAAGTACCGCATATTAATTAATTAACCAGTTTTGATAATGCAGCATTGATGGTAAAACGCCATAGGTGCATTTTAGTAAAAGTGAATAGAACTATCTATATTATATAATTTTAAATCAATTTTTAGAAGGATTAAATTCATTGTTCTTGAAATTAAATTATGTTGTTGATTTAATTTCCCATTTTTTTCTTTATCTATTATTTTGCATTAACAATTATTTCGTTATTTCATTTCAGCTATGCTTCTACTATTTATTATCACATATTGTTATCTTTTTCTACTAATATTTGATTTACTGTTGACAAGAGGAAGATTTAGATTACATATAAGAGTGATAACATGAAGTACACGGGTGAGACAAGTAAAAAAGTTAAAATATGTTTAGGTTATCAGCATATATCGATATTAGGTATATCTTTTAAATTCTATAAATTCTTAAATAATCCGATTACAAAACAAATAAAAAATTTTTGCTGCCCTAATTTTGCATAAAATAAATAATTAAATAAATAAATAGTTACGTGCTTTTTAAATTAAAAATAAATCAATCGACACATAATAAATAAGTGAACCTAGCCAACAATCACTTTATAGACAATTTATAGACAACTTAATTTTATAAACAATTGATTTATAGACAAGGTTATTTACAGAAGATTAATTCACAGACAAATTTATCTATAGGTAACATATTTCATCGGCAGCTTATTTCACGGATAATTTTTTTTTTAATAATTTGTACCTACTTTCAATTCTAGATTTTATCCTAACGACAATGACTAGAATTACTTTGTCTGTAAAATGAGCACTCAGTGAAATAAACTGTCTATGAAACGAACTTGTGAATTAATCGTTGTAAAATGATTTTTCTGTAACTTAATTCTCTGAGTCAGTGTGAATCTGATATACTAAATAAAATATTAAAAAAAAATTTAATAAAATCGAATTCATATATCTAAATAAACGCAATGGTTGTTGATAGCGATAGAGAATAGTTACATATTCTCACCTGATTTTTTTCCATCATATGATATTACGTAGTACTACTCAGAGCAACACGAAGACCAAATCCTGTATGCAAAACTTGACAGTATGTTACACCTAGGGTTGGGCGTTTTGTGTAAGTTTTAAATTTTTGATGTAAGTTACATGTAAGTTATATCTAAATTACTATGTGTATTTTAGTGTAAGTTTATAAAATCATGTAAGTTACATGTAAGTTACAGATATAACTTACAAATTTGCCCAACCCTAGTTACACCTATACAGCACATTAACATGTGAAATCATAGATTTTTGACGTCCAATCAAGTGCAAGATTTTGATTATACGCCATTCTAGGTGGCAGTAAATTATACACTCCGTTATACAAGCATGACTACATTTCTGGTACGTACGTACGTATGTGTAAAAAGGCAAAATTGTTGTAACACTTTGTAAAAGTTTGTTTTATAAGTATTCTTGCTTCCTTTGCGTAATTTAATGACATGTTAATTACAATATTGTCAAATTCAAATTATCAAAATTTCATTGTATTTTTCGTTAACGCAAAAACTTTAGAATATGTAACCTAATCACTTCTGTGAATCGAGTCACGATTCTTCTGGTAAAAAAAAATCGGGACAGTTAACTCAGTGATCGACGATCACATGATAATCATATGATGACGTTATTTTTTACTAGAATTAAAACAAGCTGGCCTAAATATACCCCTAACACTATCCCTAACCTAACTCTAACCTAGGCCGAACACTTGTCATATAATGCTATGATGTTGTGATGATCACTGAGTTAACTCTTCTTCAATCTACTCAAAAAATCGGGTGTATGTATAGCTGACGTGATATTTTTCGGAATCATGCGCATGGCCCATCTCTACATATATAGTTTATAAGTGCTATACTTTCACATACCGTGGGAAAAACAAACTCATTCCACTTAACATGTCAGAAGAAAGGATTATTTTAAATGTTGGAGGTATAAAGGTATAAAGCGCAATAATAATTTTTAGGTACTTTACTCCAAAACATGTTTTACTTACATGTTACACTTTCTTTAATATGTAGTATGAAACTTTTCGATCAACACTTACTGCTCAGCCCGAGACATTACTTGGAAAAATGTTTCAATATCAAAATGAATTCATTAAAAATTCGGCTAATGGAAATGAATATTTCTTTGACCGTAATGGCGAAGCATTTTACTATATAATGGAATTATATCGAACTGGAAAGCTTTTATGGTCCACTGAAACTAAAGAGTCACAAGTCACTTTTCAACAGCTTAAAGAAGAACTTGATTATTTTCAAATTGATAGATTGAAAGTATTTTCTTCATTGGCATCAGGAATTGCCATAAACACGATTGATCGATTCATTTCAAGTCTTGAACAATTAGTCATTAGTCATTACATAAACTTTGACAATAAAATTTCCTTATCAGTTGGTCAAAACAATAACAATCTATTCGATAGTCGTCTTAGCCAATTTAAAGGATGTGATTTTGATATCTTGAATAATATGGAAAGACAAGTTAAAAAACATTTAGTTGAAACTTTTTCTAAATTAGATCTGAAATGGAAATGTCAAAAAAAGCAACATTATTATTCTAAAAGTTTATTCTTTGAGATCGATATCACTTTTTCTTCTCCAGTTGAAACCCTATTAAATTCTGAGGATACTCAAACCCACATTGCATTTACTCAAGCACCAATCAATACACCTGAAGAAAAGGTTATTTTAAATGTTGGAGGCAAAAAGGTACTGTATGAAGGATAATCATAAATTTTTAAATACCTTTTACTTAATTATTTATATTTATATTTATATTTTTTTTTACATAGTATGAAACTTTTCAATTAAAACTTGTGGCACAACCGGAAACTTTACTTGGAACGATGTTTCAAGATCGAAATAAATGTATGAGACATCCAATTAATGGAAATGAATATTTTTTTGATCGTAATAGTGAAGCATTTCATTATATAATGGAATTTTATCGAACTGGAAAGCTTACTTGGCCTATTGAATATGGAAAAGTTACTTGTAAACAACTTGAAGAAGAACTTGATTACTTTCAAATTCCTTTTGATAAATCAACAGTACTTTGTTCATCAGCTTTAGAAATTGTTAGAAATAAGTTTAATAACCTCATCTTGTCCTTTGAAGAATTGATCATTCATTGTTGTAATTACGTTAGAAATAATATTGAATTGGAAATTACACGTGGTGATATTCAAATAATTGATATGTCAGATAATAGATATAATTATTATTATTTAGAAAATTTACAAATGGTTTTTTCATCTAAATTTACCTGCCCTGAGACTTATATTATTTTAGATAATATCCATATGGAAAGGCACGTTGGAGTTCATTTAATTAAATTATTTTCTGATTTAGAACTAAAATGGAAATTCATTCGGGAGTATAGTTGTCATAAACTATTTATCTCTTTTTCATTTGAAAATGTTTATAACCATTTTAAAAAATATTAAATAAAGGTGAAAAGAAATACAATTATGTGTTTTTTTACTATCAAAATATCATAGAATAAATTAATTATTCAGCAATAGATTTTTTTTTAACTGTATTGGGTTAATATATAATCAACTTTATTTACAGAAATAAATATATTTACGTAGTTTATCAAAGGAATCCTTTTTATATTATTTATCGTCATGACAGACAGATTTGGAGTTTAGTTTATATTTGCGACTTAAGTGATATGAGTTAAATGCATTGAGAGCACTCGTGGTGCATATAATGAAATAATTATAAAACGATGTATTATGTTACATATGCTATTAATGAAGAGACGGGATGAAGAGTACTTGTCTTTATACCTATCTTGGTAGTAATCTGTAATTGGCTAGCTTTTATCGAATATTTTGCGAATACTGTACAAAAATTACAAGAAAGATTAGCCCATCTATTTCTATTACTTATACAATTGGTCAAAGGTGATAATATTTAATGTGTTGTTGAAATATATGAAACTTAATTCTTAATATCGATAAGCACAAACTTCTATGTGAAAAATCCCTTCGGTACTGCTAATGATGAATTTTATTATTTGGTCATTAGTTTACATAGTATTTATCAACCCTAATGAGGACTAAAGCTAATAAAATGATTATACGTAGAAATAATAGAACAGATCATTTAATGCGGTTATGTGGATGCTTGCGCACATGACTATAAGGAATTCTATTTCGGTTTGTTTGTGGTTTAATAGATTATAAAAAATAATCATATTCAAAAAATTTGGAATCATGTTAAAGTATTTAATTTATTATACACGTCACTCTGACGAACTTTTATTTAATGTTTATACACAATCGTTCGATCAAGATATTGTACTTCGGTATGTGTAGAACATGAAATTGATTCGAATTTTAGCTCCGGAAATTAAATTATTTGTTTCTTAATTACTGTTACACGTAGAAACGGGCATATAGAGATGTTATAGCTCCAAATAAACTGTTAAGACTTGGTTGATAGTGGTTCCGATTAATTATAGTCCTTGTGAAATACGGTTCTAGTTAAATATAGTTCAAGTTCAAATTTGGGTTAAAAAACCGTCAGAACAGATTGCATAATTTTTTGGATATCATTGATTTAAAAGCTAATTACGTTAATAAATCTGCTTGCATAAAATTTTATTATTAATTTAAAAGTTAATACGTATTTTGTTTTGATTCATTTGCATGTAAAAAGCCTCAAAATGAGACATTTGATTATATAATTACAAATTTCTTGAAATTATTTACATTTTCTTTTCGATGGCCGGTCACACTATTTTAAGAACAAGGAATAGAATTCATTCGGAAATTGCCAGGGCATCTTTGTATGTAAAGAGTTGATTCAGAATGGGGGACACTTCAAGAACACGGAACCCAGTGATCATCACATCACATGTGAAATCATCATTTGTTTACTAGCACTAAAAAAATTAGCCTAAACTATCTTATCACCTAACCCTAACACTAACCCTAACTTAGGCCGAACACTTAATCATGTGATGTGATCATGAAAATATCACTGGGTCCCTTGTACCCCCAAAAACCATTCAAATGGTTTGTCATGAAAAATTTAATATTAAATTGATTATTCAAATTTTCATATTCAGAAGATTTCAAATATCATTTAAAGGTCTTTTTTCATCTTATTTGTGCTTACGCCTTTGGCATAACTAAATATAACGCTATACTGTTCTTTCGAATTATCATATTTGAAATTTAAATCAGAAAATCTTTAAGCCTTCAATCCTAAAACTCTGACCAAATATTTGATCTAAAATGAGAAGATTCGTTTATTTTTTAGAATTCTTTCATCGTATTAAAGAAAAAGTTGTTGATTATCATAAAGCATTGGATTAAACTGTTTTTGCATGCTACTCAAACAATAACTGCCGCATCGTGTGTTTAAAAACACGTTGCCCTTTCGCTCACTAAAAACGTGTGCAAGTACGTGATTTGCTACGTAAGTGGTAGATCACATATTTTCTAATACTTACATATATTATGCTTTCTTTTTAATTGTTTGGCAATCTGGCTGTACTTTACCACTGGAATCATTGACCAATCAGGATTGCCTAAGTTATTGCATGCCCACATGCAATAACTATTTAATGCATTGCATGCATCTCACACCTCAATAATGCAACTTATATATTTAATAAATGAAATTTCTATTTCTGGTTTTGCGTGACGCAGCTATCTTATTTTAAAAAGCGATACATATAAATTGTGTTTTATGACTTACATATAACTGTACTTCTATAATATTTTTCTGTATTTAATCAGAAATCGTATTAATTTTATCTCTCTACCTTTCCCTTTTCCAATTTAACTTTCTACATTTTTACCCTTTTCCAAAGCGCAATGTATTATCCTAAGATTATTCTTGTCTTTTTTTTTCTTTGTCTCATGACATGGAATATTAGCGCATATAAAAAACATAAACCTGCTCGTCATCATAAACCTACGAAAACTGAGTGTGAAACTCCAACTCCAACTAATATTCCTTGTTGTCAACCTGGGAGTCCTGGATTCCAAAGTTCTGGACAAATTCATGCTTTTGCTTCATCATTCACCAATACATTTACTAATACAACTGCGCAACAATGTTGTGAAGCATGTTTTAATGCTTCTAATTGTGTCGAATGGTATTTTGTTCCTAATCAATGTTTTATGAATTCAAATGCAGATACTTGTAATAATCAACTTACGATACCTATTAATAATAATTCATATTCCAATGGTGGAATTATGCGATGTGACGCAGATGGTTGCTTGAAATCAGCTTAATCAGATTACATCATTTCTAAATATATTTATCTTCCTCGTACCGATACATGTTAATCTCATTAATAATTCAATGTAATAACTATTAATCTTAATCTTTTTGTATTTTGGTTTTTAGATGCAATGCGTACAATAGTATTAAATTTATAATTACAAAATAATATTTCCACACCCTTTTTGATACCCTTTTTGATAATGCCACACCCTCTATGTATCAATGTAGATCATTTTTTATAATTTTTTTTGAAGATATCTTGACATTCACTTGAACAAATTCGATAAACTTTTTTTATTTGAATTCTACGATTAAAACAAGAAAAATTCATCGAATTTGGTTTGATGGTTATTAAGATATCATTGATCAATATTTCAACTGCAGTTTATATTTGAAATTTTGATTGAAGATATCCCAGCATTCACTTGATCGAATTCGATAAATTTTTTTTTTATTTGAATTCTACTGCTTGAATCAATTAAAACAAAAACAGGCAAAATTATAATCTGTGCTCGGTTGGTGATCACGTTA